GGGTAGCGTTGGGCCGCGGGTGGAACGGTGCGGGTTCGACTCCCACCCGGTGGAAGCGTTTGCTTTCTCGCGCCAACCATCGTTTTTGAGGCCTTTAAAAGCGTAATCTTTTTGCATGGCTTTCGATCACGCGGCGTGCCATAATTTATTCCCATGATTATTTCCCCTTCGGTGGCATATAATGGCAACGCTTCTTGATGCACTTCCAGTCGAAGCCACAATCCGAATCGTACTGGCACCAGCCGGGCTAGAAAAATCAGGATTGATGTTTCAATGATAGTATACACACCAGCCAGCAAAACATTTTTAGAAGCCACCTACTCGCTTGAGATTGCGAATCAGCTCTGAATCCTGCTCAACCTGGCGACCTTGGCGTTTCTATAACGTAGTCAATTACGGCCAGATGAAAAAGGAAGACAATGCAGAAACACTGAAAGCAAGGAGAAACAATTTACAAGAATCGGTTCATCGTCGACAAAATCGTCTGTGCGCTTTTTGAAGATGTCACGTTTCTAAACAACATAAATTTGAATGGAAACTATCAGCTCGCACGATCCAAAACGATTCTACCACTAACCAGACGTTTATCGCATTCACCGTCGTGTCGACAGACAGCCGCCCAGCTTACGGTGGCGAGCACGAGCAGCAGGAAGGCGCAACGCATTCTGTTCTACACCCTTCAATTTGTCCCACCACTTTTGAAGCAGTATCTACTTTGCATATAATTTACAGGGTGGCTGGTTTAAAATGTGTCCCCGTCCTAAAAGCTTTCTTTTTGAGCCTTTTTGAGGTCGAGGAGACTGCAAGAACTGATTGGCGGTCTGTCTTTGTCGGTAGAAAAAAAAGCGAGGCGGCGCTTTTTGGAATTCGTTGAATCAATCAGCAGGAGAAGCTGAAGAATGCGCAAAAGTTCCTAGTGCCCAACAGCAGAGATCCTTCATGCGGCTCGAAGTACTATTTCTGATCTTTCCTGTATTCCTGCAGGCCGAGGAGCAAAAATCGGATAATGAGGCTATAACAGCCCTGAAGAAAGTGATTTTAGAATTAGCTTTAAAATTTATACTTTAGGCGGTGCCAGGGATTACTAACGATCAGTTGGCCTACTTTGACAAGTGTTTGAGCCTGAAGTGCCAAGATGAATGTGAGCCCGAAAAGCTGGAGGGCTGTTTGAAAGAAGCGGCAAGTTATTAGCGGTGCTCTCTCTCTCTCTCTCTCTCTCTCTCTCTCTGTCTCCCGGTAATAACTCCAAATTTAGTTATCCAACAACGTTCCGGTCCGTCATCTTAAATGGTCGTTCCTGGGCGGCATAGTGAAAACCTTCACTTTCATTGCAAAAGTATCGGATCTGCACAACGATTTTTTTTATTACTAGTTAATTTCAGCATCAGAAAGAGATAATTGCCATCGCTTCAGTCATCGCGGCCGCTGTTCAAACTATCATAACTTGAGTCCGAATAAAGAGTTTTGTTTGTCAGTTTTTATATTTTTCTGGAGGTATTCTACTGCCAGAGATACTTGAATTTTGGTTCCTCGTTGGACCGCGATCGTATCTCATCCAAAATTCGATACCAACCAATTCCTCGCACGTCTTTTCCGGCTTCTTCTGAAGCATTCGAAAGCATAGCTCCACCCCAAAAATCAAAAATTTCTCCGGCCCCAAAACCTTCTTCAAGCTTCAAAGGTCAGACAGCTCTAAAGAAAATCATTCATCGAAGCGGTCTCCAAATGCGGTTCGCGATCATCCTCCTACTATTTCCTGCCGTGCTCCTCCTACAACCCGGGGAATGGACGGAGACGGAAGAGGGCAAACTGATCGAAGTCTTCAAGGAGGTCAAGCTACCGTTTTCTCACAATTTTCCGCTTTTTTAGGCGATCCCAATCCTGACCGATGAGCAGATCAAAGCCATACTGATCTGCCTAAAACGCGAGTGTGCCGTCTCCTGCGGTGAATCCCGTTTCCGGCATTGTGTACTTGCAACCATCAAGGTGACGAGGATACTGAGTGCTATGGATACAACGTTAATTTCAGACCGATCCCGGGATGGCTCGAATAAAGGCCGCAGCTAAAAGTGATGGCTGGGACCGGCTGATGAGGTTCCTCGGTGTGTACTGGGACTAAAACTAATCGCAGGGAATAAATGTTATGAAAGTACGGATCTTCTCGAATTTGACGCTTAAATGGATAAGGTATATAAAAACTTGCAAGTTACTTGATTTTACTGGTGATGATGATTTTTCTGGCGTGCACGTTGCGTGTCACCTGGTTTCGCTTGCGCTTTTCCCTCAACTGCAGGAATCCTGGAGCCACGACATCTTACACGCCTCCCGTGCGGCATACCTTTGGCGGCTTCCAAAAAAGAAAAACGCTTCCGAAAACGGAATACATCGTTTCGAGTCGTAGATCGGCAGAAAGTCTCAAAAAAGGCTTAAAACTTTGTAGCGGCACGCCTGGGCCATGCTAGTACTAATATTATTTCTGGTGCCTCATGTGTTCCGGTTGGCTAAGGCTGACTTGACCATGGAGCAAAAACTAGCCGCGTTGAAAAAAGTAACTTACGTTCTTGTCACCAGAGATTTCAAGCGCTTCAGATCGCCCCCGGCATCACCGATCCGCAATTGCTCTTTCTTGCTGACTGCTTGGAAAAGAAGTGTTCAGATGCTTGTCACGTTAGCCTGGTTGAGGGCTGCTTGAAAGATGCGGTAAGAAAAGCGTTTTCCCTAGTTTTTCGCGAAATACAAAATTCTAGCTAGCCTCCCAACCACGCCATCTAAAGTTCAGCACTGGCTTTGGGCTCGACGCCATTGGGGAGAGGATCCAGTTTCTTTGGGAGGTTCGTGGCTCTTCGTTTCAATAAATGCCATTTTAGCACAAGGTCGATATCATCAAGGCGGCTTTTCTGCTAGGCTGAAAACGGATGATATTTCGTCGAATAAATGATTTTCAGAATATTTTAAACATGTCGAAAAACACGTTGCAAGAATAGTTATGCCTCCGGTTAATTAAAGTATCTGATACTAAAAAGCCACGTCTCGAAATAGAGAGCTCGATCCTTAAGAGAAGAAAGAGATCGAAACATTAGAACGTCGATTGCTAGCGTGTAGTTGGCTTATCGAACAGCCTTTCTGCAGTTGGACTCGATTGATCATTCAACAAAGTCATTCCAAACATTTTGCAGCTTTTGTCGCGGCAGGCCTTTCGCGGCTTTCGCTAAAGCGAACTTTGGCCAAAAGTCGAATACATTGTTCCTGATCAAAGGTCAGTAGACCCTCTCAAAAGCCGCTGAAATTCACCAAGAAAAGGGTCAGGGATTTCCGGGCCATGCGGACCGTAATATTGCTTCTCTTGGTTTCTGCTTTCCTACTTGTGGGCGCGGACATGACCCGGGAGGCGAAACTTGCTGTTTTCAAAAAAGTAACCTCATTTTTGCACCTTGAAGCGATTCCAATTTTTAGGCCGCGCCAGGGCTCACCGACACGCAGTTGCTTTTTGTTGAAAAGTGTGTGGAGAAGAAGTGCGCGGTTCGTTGCTTTCCTAGCGATCTCGATCAGTGCTTCAAGGACGGGGTAGGAAATGTGATTTTGGGTTTGAGTAAGCTCAAAGTTATAGCTAGCCTCTCCGCCAACCCGCTGATGGCGTGTCGTACCGTTTGATTAAGCTTTGAAAAAAACATGCTAAACGGCGGTTTTCTTGAAGTCATGCAACGCAATCGGGTCGGACGATCCGTACATTACAGGATGCCCCCAAAAAAATCGACCCCCTGGCGGCCCTGAGAAAGCTCGAATCGTGATGGTTTTTACACCATTCAAAAACCCTCGAAGCGGCGAGAAAACAAGCGCTATTCATTTTACAAAATGTTTTAGCCCGCGCTCAATATGACACGATTTCTTAAATTCTTTTGCTTTAGCAAGCAATTAAAATGCAGATTTGCAAAAATCTTAATGGATTTTGAGACGAAAATTCGTCAATTACAATGTCTATGCTGCAAAACAAAAACTACCTGTTTTCTTGCCTTTCCGAGAACTTTCGATAGCTACCTAAATCGCCAAAATCGGCTGCTTCTGCTGCTTCACTAGAGCGGGTCGATTTTGTTGGGAACACCCTGTGCTGCTTCATTTTCAAGCACGTTTTGGATTAAAAACCTTCCATACTAAAAAAAAATTCTTCGCACGGAGATCAGGGTATAGAGAGTTCGCAGAAACTAGACCAGCCGACGGAGGGTCCAAGCTCCTCTACACCATGATGCAAAGGTTTATGCAAAGTGTGTTCGAAAAGTGGAGTGACCCCCTTCAAAAACACGTGCAGAGCCCGGCCGCCCCAACTAGACGGACATTGGACCGACATATTGGGCAATAAAGGTGAATATAAAACTCGTACCAGCTTCGGAAGTCGGCTTTCTTCCGTCGATTTTTGTTAGGTTTAATATGATAATTTTGCAAATTTTAGAGACCAGGGATCATCATGCTCGACGATTATTTTACCATCTTCACCGCCAGCCTCCTCGGCATCTTACAGTCGACAACATTTTTTGGCTTTGACCTCTTAGCCTTTGTGTCCGAGCCGATTACTCATTCCGTGCATGTTCGATGTCCGGATTGTATCGTGGAATTTGCTGGATATTACGGGTAGGGATTATAGCGTTGTAAATCGCATTTCCTCTTTAGCCAAAGCGCCATCTATTTTGTCTACACACTAGCAAACTTGATTGTCCCCTGCTTCTTGCACAAACTCGGAATCCGCGGCAACCTGATGGCTGGCGCCTTTTGCTTCATGCTCTTCTGCATGTCGTTCTTCCAATTGAGGAATTACACCTATTTCCCGGCATGCTTATCAGCGGGATTTGCATTTGCGTGTAGGTCGACGTTTTTCGATATCAGGAGTGTAGGCATTTTAGTTTATTACTGCGGCGCTGGAGCCTATTCGGCCAAGCACTCGACCGAAATAACGATCTCACGCAACCAGTCATTGACCTGGATGTTTTCCGCTGTTGGGTATGGAAAAATTTCCTCAAAATCCTAGGTTTCAGACTCGCCCTTTGCGGAGTCTTCATCATGATCTCCTCCGAGTTGACAGCTATGCAAATGGCGGTTTTAGAAGGGGCCAATGCCACCATTTTCGTAAGTTTGGCATCATGAGCTTCGAAAACGAAATTTAGGAAACCTCATTCCGCGACTATTCTGACTACGAAATTCGAATTCTGGCCATCGGAACGGTCGTGGTCTCTGGTGTCGCTATGACTCTAGCTTTTACAATCCCGGTTCGGCCGATCAAAGATTCTCTTTACGAGAAGACCGAACATGTCGACACCGTTAGAGATCAGCTGCGTGAGTTTATAGACAAAACCCCTGATTTTCGAGTATCGTCGCTTCAACAGGCGTTTCAGGAATGGTACTGTGGGCATTCCGTCAGAAGGGACTCTTGAAAATGGCTCCCTTCTTCCTGTTCACCGGATTCTTCACGATCTTCTGGTTGTCCATCTACACAACAACGCTTTCATTCACCGAATCATTGGCCGTCTATAAAAATTTGGTGGCATACTACTGCCTAGCGATCACCTTTGGAGAAGTGATCGGTAAGACTTCCGTGGTATCGCCCTAACCTCTTTTAGTCGGTGTGCTGATGAGCTACCTCAACAAACGAATCAAAGATTTCGGGCTGGTGCCGGCGATGTGCATGGTGATTTCGATGTACTCGCTGGCGTCGGTTCTGATTATCCTCTACACTCCGGCTGAATCAAGCATCAGGCCTACGAGCGAATTGTCGTTTTGCGAGCCGAGGTAAGCGCAGGATGCCCCGGGTAGCGCCTTTCCCCAGCTTTTGGATGGCCCTCATCATCGGTGTGATCAACGGCATGGTGGACGGGTCGATGAACAACGTACGAATCACGACTGCTGCTCGGGCTGTACCTTCACAGCCAGCTATCGCATTTTGCATCACAAAGTTTTATCAGGTTTTGAATTACTGAAACATTAAAGGCGTTCTTCTAGGCGCTCGCCTCTACCTTCTTTTATTATCTCTGTTCAATCTTGGATATTTACCAAATTGTTGCGCTGATGACGTTCACCTTATTGATCGGTACGGATTTAGACTTAGGCTTAGGCATAGGGCTTTGGCTTAATCACGAAGTTTAGACATTTAGATTTTTCACCTACTTTTCTATCAATAATTACACTTCCGCTTTAGGTCTAATCGGCTTCATCTCACTTCTGAAAGATCTCCGACGGATACACGACGCCGAAAAGCTGCCCGAAAAGAAACTTAGAATATGAAAATTCGTTGACTGTCAGAAAATTCTTTTCCAGCTGGCAGCATACAATTACGGCCATACACCGGATCGGGTCAGAATTTTGCAGAGAATTCACCGGACATTCACCGGCGTTGGGAGGGTGCACAGGTTTATGTAGATTTATTCTGGGTGTTGACCCATTGCACTACCAAAAAAGGGTGAGAGTGAGGTTGAATGATCTTGCTGGTATATTGATTTACCAGCTATTTGCCTGCCTTTCACGTGGACGAATCGAAGGTTCAATTTGTTTCAGCGGAAAATTCGCAAGGATTTCCGGGCGGGACCAATTTTTTTTTCCTGGCGGTCCCGGTTGACCTAGTAATCAAATATAAAGTGTTTTCACATTGTTTTTAGTAAATTTTAGTTGTATTTAAAGTAGAAAAACCTTGAAAAAGTTAGAAAAATGTTTGAAAAATCGAAAATTTGGTCTTTTTGGGTCTTCCCCCCTCCGCGCTAATCCTAAAGGATCTATAGGCTTTTTCGACCTAAAATGAACTTTTTTTTTAATTAAAATGTGTGTAGCTTTTATGCTCAGGAATAGTTAAAAACAATTTTGAAACGCATCGGCTATTTCTAAAAGAATTCAGGCCTGTGCCGAAAAAAATGGTCCCCCCTCCCCCGGAAACACTTTCTCCGCCCAGAAATCCTAAAGCACACAGTTTTGTAAACCAGCACGTTATATAGTTCTTGGCCTTCCGCACCTCTCCTAAAAATTTCAGCCCGATGGGAGATAAGGCGGCCAAATGCCGAGGGGTTTTTTATGCGACACCCTGTAGCTCACCCAAACCGAGGCCCAAGTGCCCTCAAATTCTCCCCAAAGTGTCGCAAAGGTTTATGCAAAGTGTGGTCGAAAAGTGGAGTGACCCCTCTCAAAAAACGCGTGCAGAGCCGGGGCGCCCGAACTCGACGAACCTCACATTGCAATATTGGGCAATAGAGGTGGGTATAGGGCTTTTACCACACTTCGATTGCCGGGTTTAACAGATGTTTTTTTGCCGGCCTCTTTGGTTAAAATGAACTCGCAACTTTAGAGGTAAAAGATCAGCAAGATGCTAGGCGACAATTTCACAATCTTCACCGCCTGTCTCCTTGGCGTCCTGCAGTCCTCCACGTTTTTCGGGTTCGATCTCCTGGCGTTTGTGGCGGAGCCGATCACGCATTCCATCCATGTTAGATGCCCGGATTGCATTGTGGAGTTTGCCGGATATTACGGGTAAGCATTAGAGAACAGTAATGTCAGTCTCCCTTAGCCAAAGCGTCGTCTATTTCGTGTACACCCTGGCGAACCTGATCGTCCCCTGCTTCCTCCACAAACTTGGGGTCCGCGGCAATCTACTCGCCGGCGCGTTTTGCTTCTTGCTCTTCTGCCTGTCCTTCTTCCAATTGAGCAACTACACCTATTTCCCAGCCTGCTTTGCGGCGGGCTTTGGATTTGCATGTTGGTGCCCGGCTTCAAGACCTGATCCTGATCCCCTTTAGTCTATTACTGCGGCGCTGGAGTGTATTCGTCGAAGCACTCGACCGAGGTTACCATCTCACGAAACCAGTCCCTGACATGGATGTGTGCCGCCATCGGGTAAAGCTAAATTCGCAACACAGCGTAACGTTTCTCTAGGCTTTCCCTTTGCGGCGTCTACATCTTGATCTCTTCCGAAATCACAGCTATGCAAATGGCTGCGCTGGAGCAAACAAATCTCACGATTATCGTAAGCTTATTTGTTTCTGGACGATTAGTGGGGGCACCAAATTTCCCCCTATGATACTCTACGGCCCTATAACAAAATATTCACCATTTTTATCTCATTTTACGTAGCTCTTAGATAGAAAACAATATATAAACTATAGAAATTTTCGAGATTTTTTTTGACCAAAAAAAGTTTCGATTTCAAACATTTTCGAATTTTCGAAATGTTTACAAATATTTTTGGTTTTTAGATATCAAAACAATAAGAAAAAGATACCAATAATTTCCGACAATTTTTGACTTTCAGGTCAAAGCCTATAAAAAATGGCCAAAAAGGATCAAATTTAAAAAATATTTTTTAACTTTCTAGCAATCAAAAACTACTAAAACACTATAAAAATTGATTATATAACACAACAATTATAGGTGGAAAAACAGAAAGTGGTTTCCGCCCTGCTAAAATCCCCCGCTAACAGTCCAGAGGCCTTATCTGCACTGTTATTCTGAAAGTCATAGGCCACGTGGCCACGTTTAGAAATAAATTTTAGGAGACAACCTATCGCGATTATTCTGACTACGAAATCCGAATTCTGGCGATCGGGACGGTGGGAGTCTCGTGCCTGGCGATGACTCTGGCTTTTACCATTCCTATTCGGCCGATCAAGGATTCTCTCTATGAGAAGACCAACCACGTCAATACCATCAGGGATCAACTAAGTAGATTTTATAGCAAAAATCCGAATTTTCACGCTAATCAGCCTCAACCTCCATTGCAGAGATGGTGATGTGGGCAATCCGGCAGAAGGGCCTTCTGAAAATGGCTCCCTTCTACCTGTTCACAGGCTTCTTCACAATCTTCTGGCTGTCCATCTACACGACGGCCATCTCATTCACCGAATCCCTCGCCGTCTATAAGAATTTGGCGGCTTATTACTGCATGGCGGTCATGTTTGGTGAAGTCGTTGGTGAGGGTTACTTGAGGGAAGTACCCCCTTTTTAGTCGGTGTGCTGATGAGCTATCTCAACAAACGAATCAAAGATTTCGGGCTGGTGCCGGCGATGAGCATGGTGATTTCGATGTACTCGCTGGCGTCGGTTCTGATTGTTCTCTACACTCCGGCTGAATCAAGCATCAGGCCTACGAGTGAATTGTCGTTTTGCGAGCCGAGGTAGGCATGGAAAAGAGTTGATACTCGCGCCAGCAATGCCCACTGGAAGTTCTAGAGGTTAGAGTGCAGTTTACCCCCCCCCCCCCACCCAGCCGGCACCCAACTATTATATCTCGGCTCCCTGTACATCTACTGGTGTGTAAGGTATACCAAAGTACTCGCCAGAGCAAGACGAACATTTTGGTATACTTTACACACATGTAGATGAACAGGAAGCCGAGATACAATAGTTGGGTGCCGCTTGGGGGGGGGGGGTAAACTGCACTCAGGCCGTTCTAGAGAGCAATTCTTAGCTACTGGGTCGCGTTGCTAATCGGCATCTTCCTCGGGGTGGTCGACGGAGCGATGAATAATGTCCGAATAACTGCAGCGGCTCGAGCTGTCCCTTCCCAGCCAGCCATCGCATTTTGCATCACAAAATTTTATCAGGTAAAGCGGTGAAGAAAGGTTTTTAGCTCGAAGTTTTTCTTATTGTGATGCCATATAAGCATTCCTATTTTAGGCGCTCGCCTCCACCATTTTCTACTATCTCTGCTCAGTCTTGGACGCCTACCAAATCGTCGCATTAATGACGTTCACTCTATTGGCGGGTGCGTAAACAGCTGGGCTGTCGAAATTATTTTCCTTTCAATTACTAAGTTCCGGTTTTAGGCCTCATCGGCTTCATCTCGTTGCTCAAAGACCTGCGCGGTGTGCACGACGCCGAAAAGCTGCCGGAAAAGAAAATCAGAATATGAAACGATTTTAAAAAGATAAATATATTCCCCTAGCTCATTCCTCCAACGCCCCCTAGCCAAAAAGCGGCACGCTGCTGAGGCTAAAAAACTAGAAGCTTCTACAAATTGCGGTTTTAAGTATGCCGACTACCAATTTAGCCGGTAAAGTCTAGGCGACACAGATTTGCGCTTAAAGGGCACGTTTAGGGACCTTTTGGAAAAAAGCAAAGATTTCGCCGCGGCCGGGGGCCGAACCCGGGCCCCCCGCCCGCGGATGGATACCGGTCATCAGCCAGGTCAGGTCAGCTACAACTTGCCGAGGGGCTGAGGGGCGTCCCACGCCTCAAAGGTGGGAAATTGCCATCCACGGCACGGGCAGGCAGCGCGCGCGGTATGGCGGGCTTCATTTTGTTGGCGGACTGGTGATGCCACTTGCAATAAAAATATATTTAGGATGTCGCTCTAGGCCTGATTGACTTCATCTCCTTTTTCAAAGATCCGCGACGAATGCGAGATCCGCAAATTCCACCATTAGAGAAATTGATAATCAGATTAAAAGAAACCTATTCTTTTTCCTTGACTTCCACTTTCATTGAATAAGCCCCCTGCAGCCAGAACTCGGATGGAGACATAACTTTGCAGAAACTTTTCAGGGCATTTACCGGCTGTTACCAGTACAGGCTTATGCAGATTTGTTCTGGGTATATTGACCCATTGCAAAACCGCAAAAGGTGGTAAAGCAAGGTCGAGGTTCGTCCTAGCCGGGTGATTGCCTGAATTTCACGTGGACTGACCGAAAGTTTACTTTTTTAGCTCTTAACTTTTTCTATTGATTATTGATGCTTGGCCCTGAGGAAGTACGGTTTATTTCCTGCTTGTTTTTCACACGCACATGCATTAACTTCAATGCTGGATTTCTAGGCTGCTGGACAACGTTTTTTTAGGCTTTAGAAAATAATTTTTCGGCATGAAAGAAGACAAGTTCCAAACCTTGGCCGCCAGCCTCGTTGGGCTCTTGCAGTGCACCTCTTTTTTTGGCTTCGACATGCTCACTTTCGTCACGGAGTCAATTGCGCACTCCGTGCATGAGCGCTGCCCGGATTGTATTGTGGGGTTTGCCGGATACTACGGGTATTTAAAGGGGCTCGGAAGTCAAAATTCGCGTGTTCGGGGACTGAACCTGCTGGTCAAAAACGACTGGATTGCCGCCGAAAAGTGCCATAAAAATTATTTCGCTTCGAAAAACCGAAAAATATTTGAGACAGACCGGAATGTTTTCGGGGCGAAAACGCCCTTTTGAGCGCGCGAATTAAAAAATTAATAATATCGTTTTTTTTCAAGTCGGTGCCCTGATGAGCTGCCTCAACAAACGCTGGAAGGACTTTGGCCTTGTACCCGCAATATTTTTGACCCTGGTGACATATTTGGGAGTTTTGGCACTCGTGCTTTTGTATGTCCCGCCGGAAGCAAACATTCGGCCCTGCAGCGA